ATAAGTCATTTTTTCGGCTACCAAGTGAATCAGCATTACAGTAAAAAAAAAGGAACATATGAAAACCCTGAAACTGAAAATTTTCTAGTCTTTTGGATTTCACAGTTTCAGAGTGTTTTTAAAAAGTCGAAGAATCTTGTACTTTGGTGAATCGAATGCTAAACGTTTCTTAGTAGTTTTTCTTAAAAAGATACTCCACGAATAGGATAACATTACAGTAAAAAGACATCGAATCATATGAAAACACTGAAACTGTAAAAATTTCTAGTTTTCTGGTTTTCACAGTTTCAGACTGTTTTTGAAAAGTCAAAGTGTCTAGAACATTATTTGAAGAATTGCAGGTATTTAGACAATCAATTCTACAGAAAATAACAACGGAACATATGAAAATACTGAAACTGAAAATTTTCTAGTCTTCTGGTTTTCACAGTTTCAGACTGTTTTCAAAAAGTCAAAGGGTCTAGAACATTATTGGAAGATGGATAATGGAAGGTGTAAATTACGCTGGATCTGAAATCCTCAAAAAAAAGCGTTCGGAGAAAGGAATTCCAAACTACAAAAATTTTTTCCAGCCTTTCAAAATTCCCAGCTTCATAACTTCCCCAAATTCATGACGCATTTTATGTCAAACAATTGGTGCAAGATTTCACATCGTGCTAAAATTCTAAGCTCCCAAAGCTCCCCAAACCCAAAGTCACGTGATGGCACCCACTGCACTACCAAACTGTGTAGCTTTTCAATTTTTGAACTTGTTTTGTTTAGACACACACCCGTCGCATGATGTTTCAAACGCCTCAAGTGAGCGTACTCTATTTTCAGTTCCAAACAAAAGTCACCAAAACCTTTGTGCTCCTCTCTGCCTACAGTCTGCCACCCATGAACATAGAAACGTCTTGTATTGTTGACATCGGTTTTTGCTCACCGCTCAAGGAGATGGGAGGAGGTGCTGGTGTGTAGTACTTACAAGTTGACACACACAGAGAAATTCCCCATAGAAAAAAGTGACAAACAAAAAAGTACGAGTTCACTATCTGCCACCTATAAAAGCAGCGGGCACCTGTGGGGAAACATATCTGCTCTCTACGAAAAAATATGTTGGGCCTATTGGTATTGGCAGCGACTATCTACACTGCTCAGTCAGCACCAGTTGGTCCCAACTACGACAATATTCAGTACCTTCATAATTTTACTCTAACCTATGCTAATAACTCGCTGGACGGTCTTGGAGCCATTGATAATTGTGAGTTCATTGCGATAGAGAGAGGAAATTCTGTTTTTGAGTTGTCCTAGACTTATAAAAGTTCTGAAACTGAAATTTTCAGTCACCGATGTGAATTCACAAATGGCCCAAAGCCTAAAATCCGCCATCAACCTTGCACTGCCAGGATACCTTTCCTCATCCCGCTCCTCCACTCCATCATCATCCTCCTCAGCATCCGCATCCGCATCATCATCATCTGCCTCATCCGAGATGCCATCCACCTCCACTGCATTGCCTTCTTCCAGTCAGACTACTGCTATGGTAGGTCCATTTCCCACTTTCCAGTTAGTCAGTGATTGATTTTCAGCCAGGAAGAAAACGAAGACAAGCCGTCACCTCTTCCCAAGTCACTGCCACTCCAGCCACTACCACTCCAACCGCTGCTCCACTGGGAGGATCATTCCCATCCTCCACCACCCCTTCTTCTGGACAGCCGTCTACCACCCAACCCTACGGAACTGATGAGGAGTTCTACGCCCGTACAGATCTAGTCCACTTTCATGTGGACATTAATGATCTTGAGGGATCGGGAGCTATCTAAACATGCATAATGATCTTCGAAAAAAGAAACACTTTTGAATCCATGGAATCTCATCATTATTTTATTTGAATTTGTATCTGGATAATGTCTGAAAAATGAAATAAACGAGTTTTGTAATTTTCACTGTTTTGAGTGTCTTTTTTTTCTATTTCTGGCTATCAATGGACAGTTGTTTTCCGCTCGGTGAACATAATCTTACTGAAACAGAAGTCCTTGGTTTGAAAAATTAAAGAATTCAGGAATGATTGGTTCCAAAATTTTGAATCAGAAACAGGAACAAGCCTAAGAAAATTGTTCTCTATAGGACATCGAAAAACAACCTTTATTTCATCTGGCGTCCAGAAACTTTTTCAGTTTCAACCTCTACATGTTTCACTACTTTTCGCAAGACTTGCTAGTACGTAAAATTCATTTACAATCCAAAAGATGTTCGGATACCAGTGTTTCCATCTATTTGGCAGTCTCCTGTGTATTGTCTCAATTCGTCGATCTACTTCCAGCCCAGCAATGACCTCTGAAAACTTTCCCACTATCACAAGTGGTTGAAACTGTTCCTAATTTTTCGAGGCATTCTATTTTTTGAATCTTTGTTTTGATTTTTTCTGAATACGCTATTTTCTTGAACAGGACTGTTTGATATGAATTCAGAAAACCAACTTGTTTTTTCTGAAACAAGCTAGAAATAAACCTCAACATCCATGAGACCATATTATGAGGTCAACTGATAAAATTCCGCTCTGTGAAAATTATCTGCCGATTCAGATTCTTACTAAATATTTTGAAAATTTTTAATACATTTAATGGTAAATTAGCAGACGCTTGTTTGATTAACCGGTATTATTAGAAAAAAACCATATCAGAGGACCTTTCAGTACTTTACGTTTAGAGTAGCATATCTCCATTGTCATCGAAAGATCCAAAAAGTGGTCAACATGATTATTGAGAAAGAAATGACTTCATGAATTTGCATTGCATATTAAAAGTATTATAAACAGAGAAATTTGTTAGAATGCTTATCAAGGAGATCGTTCATCATGAAACTAATTCTGAATAGTCCTCGCTGTGAAGACCAGGGTTGAAAACTTTTTGATAGCTCAAAATATTTTTCTTCTCTCAATTGGCTGTATGTTCCGACTGGTTATTTCAAATTTTTGAAGTTATTTTTCCACATTGGATCTGCATTTTCGTAAAAAGTTTCTATGTTTCCAAACATTAATTTCAATATCATTTCAAAACACAGCGTATTCCGAGTATTCTTTTGATGGCATCCATTTTTTCAGACGTAGTGAACTTGTTTTTTTTTGTTGTTTCACTGATGTTATTTTTGATAGAAGTTACGTTTGTAAACCATTGTTCGTACTCAACAAAATAATTGCGGACAGATTGAAAAAGTGGAAGACTCTCAGTGATTTATTTGATTGGAATGAATTATCAACTTTCAGGTACGAGGTGAAACTTTGAGGAAAATTGGAAACAATTGAAGTTTAAAAAAGTGTATTGGAAGCGATAACGTACTGTTGCCACTACCAATGAGCAAAAACTAAAAAAAACAACTTTATCGGTTTCCAAACGTGCACTTATCTTGTTTTCCAGTGTTAATGGGCTTTAGCCAACAAAAGAGATTGTAAATATTTGGTTTAAATTTTGCTTCAAGAATTTAGACCTTGTTCTGTTAACGGCTCGACATAAAAGGCAGGAAGGATCCCGAAAATTGGAAAGCATTGGAAATGTCAGGAGACGTGGAACTTAAAGGGGGCCTATGCGAAAAAAAATTGCTAGAGAGATTTTTATACCATTGGATAGAGCTGATCGAATGACATCGAAAATCCTCTTGGAGGTATGGCCGGAAATTCCAAGTTGACCTGATATCGGGAGTGAAAGAAAATCTCGTTGCTTGGGAACATTGACTTTGACAGAGTTTATCAGAAAAACCAAGAGTTTTGCGAAAAAGTTGTCAACTGAAAAAATGAAGGAAATCTAATTCTGAATCACTTTGTAGTTGTTCTTTTTTTTCTCAAGTGATCCCTTTCTGAGTTATAGGCTGATTTCTATAAAGTACTCCTCATAAGCAACGAAAAACACATACTCAAGCAACGAAAATAAATTGCGTGAGAAATAATTGAAATTTTCACTGCTTTCAAGCAACGAGATTTTCTCTCACGTGTGAAAACAGGTCAAAAATGGAATTTCCGACCATACCTCCAAGAGGTTTCGATGTCATTCGTTGAGCTCTATCCGATGGTGTAAAAATCACCATAGCAAAGTTTTTTTGCATAGGCCCCCTTTAAAATAGAAATGTGAATCTGTAATTTTTTTCAACATCGCAAGTTTGATAATCCACCCCTATATAAATACTGTTCCAAAATGTTCATTTATCCCCACGAGTGTCTGCTTTCTGGTGAACCTTTTACAATCCCGAGATCTCTGCTCCTTCTCCTGTTTCTGTTTCCTCAAATTCTCATAGATCATATCGATATCCTGGAATTCGACGTCCTTCTTCGGCCGATCACACATCATGCACGGCGTTCCATACTTGTTAGTTTTCATTGTACAATTGTTAAGGGTGCATCGATGAAGACGTGGGTCCTCGTTTTAGAAGAACATAAAATGGGCCTCTGTCAAATGGTTCACGGTACTGGTCTCACTGTTTCAATTGGTTATTTAAAACTCTTGAAGGTGTATATCCATACTTATATTACAACTTTAGAAGGAAGTTTTCCTGTTTCAATACCTCAATTTCAAAATGAATATTTGGATCCAATTAGTATTCTTTTTATCGGGTGAAGTGGTTTAGAATTTTTCGTTGTTTTACCAATGTTATTAGTGACAGGGGCTAGGGGTGGGAACCAGTATTTAT